TAATGATGATCCAGGACGAACACCTGGATCTCAGCTACACCGGAGGATCAGTTCAAAAGTTTTGGACACTAAAAGTAAAGCTGGGAAGCTTGCAGAAATAACAAAAGAAAGTTTGACTTAAAGGGACTAACGCCCTAACTTTAATGTTTTATTACAGCTGTGGCCCAGGACTCTCAGAAAGATCACTTACTCATTATCTTTGTCTTCCTTCCCGTTTCAGTGACAACCCCATAGTGGGAAAAACCTCTTAACCTGGCTGGGGCGATGTGGTCCAAAAGCAGCCACGCCTGCATCACAACAAAGCGCCTACGTTGTCCATTAGAAGCCCCAGGAGCTGTGCCAGTGAGAAAAGGTGCGACCAGGTGAATGATACGCCACCTGACCTCCACATGTCATGAGTCCACTACAGCAGTGACAGCCCGAGAAGGGGAGCCAGAACAAGCTTGTGAGCTTGACCAGGATCGCACCTTCATCCTCGAAAGGAATGAACCCTTAGGTGTTTTTTCTTTTCTTTTTTTTTCTTTTTTTTGAAGTATGTTGCCTCATCTCCTCCCCGTCCTCTGCAGTGAAGGTCACAGATTCTATCCGTGTCTTAACTTATGTCCCCCTTTTTACGTACAGCTGTGTGAAATGGGCATCATTAGATGGTGTGTGAATAGGCTGCTAATTTTTTCTTTTATTCACAGAGTTTTATACGAACAGCTGTAATGATGCTCTCCTCTCATCTGTGAACATCTGTCTTTACAGTTGATTCCTAATCACCAATCTGGAGGCCCCTCCCCCCCGTAAACTTCAGTCTTTTCTCCTCCTCCTGAACAAATGTAAATGTATATTTTCAAAGAACATTTAAACCGGTCTGCCTTACTTTGACGGATGTTTCTTTCACATCAAATGCTGAGGGAATAATGCAAAAGCACTTTAAATATTTGGAGCACTCCAAATAGAAAATGATTGGATACTTGGTATCAGCTTTCCCCATTTTGATCAGTTACATGATCCTTTGTTTCATTCCTGTACAATAACATTTATAGCCTGTAGATTTTAAGATATTTTTCTTGACCAAAGACGATTTCATAGGTTTGAACATGAACTTGAAGAAATTAATGTATTTTGAATACAAATGGTTTAAAAATGGAGATAAATAAGATGAATATATATAAATATATATATGTTTGGTTTATGTGTACGTTTTTGCTAACATATCCTTTACTTTTTAGTGACTTAAGGCAAGCAGTTTGCATGCGTTCAGTTTTGAATCCTGATAGCACGACTGTAGTGAAGAGTTGTATTTCCCTGTGATTGTGAATCGTATCGGTACGGTGTGCGTCAGATCTGTGCTGTCGTGTTGAGAGCCTTGAAACCTTACTAACAGTGGCTTATGTAAGAAATGATGTTCAACCTGCAGAGAGGAACCAATTGGAATAACAAAATCGCCCCTGTCTTTCACGCTTTAGTCCAGACAATCTCCGCCAGTGCGCACGTTATGTCCTCCTTCTTTACTATCGCGGCTCCAGCTGTTCTGTTTCATCGTCTTTAGGGAATTTTCTTGAAATGTGGCGCAGCTGTTTGCCACAGCACTCTGCTGCAATGACCAGTAGAGAAACGTCTGTGTAGTAAAGGGAAAAATATGATGTTATTACAAACTGTCAGACTCTTAAAGTTACTCATATTCTAGCATGCATGTCCTGCAGGAGTAGGGTTGCATCAGATGAACAAAGCAATAGCAAATAATCAAGATTGATTGCGTAAAATAGAGATTATCAAATTTACTTTGTGGGTCTTACTCCATTTTAATTTAATTCAGTTTGTTTGTAACTGACACAAACCAGCTCCTCAATTTTATTTTTTAAGTGGTAACCAGCAAAATTTCCCCCCAGTTAGGCTGGTTTTGATTATCAGTCGGTGGATTGTTTTTCTTGGGGGGGGATTTTTGTTCATTTTTTCCCTCTGAAAGAACCAGTGAACAATCACTTTGATTCAGTCTTGATTTTTGAGTTCTTTTTTTGTTCCTTCCTGTGGTTTTGAGTCTGCTTCCCATTTGAACGATGAAGTGTTGAATAGAGACAAAATTAAAGTGGACCTGTTATGCTTCTAAATTCTCTCATATACTTACAGGTTTAATTGTGGGTGCTCATATAAACAAGTGTATGCAGAGTTAAAAGTTCACACTGCTCTACATTCACTGTTTCAGAGGTTGTTTTGTTGTGTTTTTTCTACTCATGGATGGTGATGATTTCAGAGAGTGGATATCCCCTTATATGGTCATCTCAGCTCCATATAGGGGGATATCTAGGGCATCCAATCAGAAGGAAGGATTTCACAAAGCCTTAAAGAGACAAACGCTCAAACAGGTTATTTTATGTAGACGATCAAATGAGAAGAAATACAAACATGGAGCAGTGAAAGAGCATAACGGGTCTCCTTTGAACATCTAAAGTTTAAACATTGAATGCTGATATTACAGGGTTAACTGTGTCTTTTCTTTTATTTGTCTGTGATTGTTTTCATGAGTTGTGTCTTTGGTCCATTATCTATTTCTAACTTGCATGTCTTGTACATTTAACAATATATTTTTCTAGGAAAATGTTTTGTACCTTTTTTTCTCTCTCTTTTAAACACTGATTTTAATGTATTACTCAGCTGGTACTTTTGTTCTCAGTCTGTCGACTTCGTCAAGGCTGGATGCTTTCTGTTTTGTTTTGTTTTGTTTTGTTTTGTTTTTTTGTTTTGTGTGTTTTCTATGCCCGTGCGCACTCCTTATTGGCTCCTCGTGGCCATAACTCCCTCAAAACTCCCTCTCGTTGAAGCTGATTAACACAGTGTTACTGCGGTGAATGTCGCGTGTTCACGTGCACGTCAGTAGTGAACAACGTGCCTGATCGGAGCCAAAATAAAACTGTAAAGTGATTTCACGCCGATTCGGTTAATGGACTTTGCTTATGATTTGAGTGACGCTGAATAAAAACAAATCTCTGATGTCAAACTTCGACATCTGAATCGGAAAGCTAGCGTAGAATCAATTGTTGTTGTATCGCATAAGCTTGCATGCTAACTCCATTGCTAGTTTTAATATGGCCAGTAAACTAGAGGGTGGTGTATGTGTGCTTATTTTCATAAAACGTGAACGGGGAGGGGTTGTTTTAATCTGTCTGATTTTAATAAGGGAAGTTTCTTCATTTGTTTGTTGTTATAAACGGTCTCTATGTGGAAACATGTGACTTTCCTGTTGGACTACAGCCAGCTTCATTTCATAAGATTACCAAACAGGAAGGGAAATGTCCATATGGGCTTTGATCTATCAGGTGAACACAGGGGAAATTAAGGTATTAGCCAACATGCAGATCTGATATGGCTCTTAAGAAGGACCAAAATCTGATATCACTGCAGTTTGTTTTTGCAGGTGTATCTGAAACAATCATTTTTTTTCCTCCTGCCAATCAGATTGTTCTGTGTCAAAGCAAAGTGTGAGTGCAGATGACCGTCTGAAGGCTTTGTAGAATTTTTTTTTTTTTTAAAGCTAAAGTCTCTTCTTGCCTCTTCTTGTCCAGTAAACGGTGAGCAGTTCGATGTTATCGTCACATCTCCAGCTCGTTTCTTCTGAATGTCTGTTATTTTTATACACATTAAACATTTTATTTTTCCATAAATGGTCTATTCTGTGTCTCTTCATAATAAAAACACTTTGCCAGTGCCTCTTCTGTTTGTTAGGTGTCTGTTTTCCTACTGCGCTGATGTGACCTGCGTACAGTGTCCTCCACGATTCAGACAAAGAAACAAGTTGTGTAATTTTGCGTATAACTTGCTAAAGGTTTGCAATTGGATTCAGGTCTATAGCAGATTGAGGGCCAGCCAATGGCACCAATGTTTTCAACGTGAAGGAACCACCAACGGACTGGGCTCGTTAGGCCGGGCACCAGGAGCGACCCAGGGCTCACTGTGCCAACTTAAAGTCTGACAGTCGAGATTATTATCTCCATAATAACAGCAGTCAGGATACTGTTGGCTAGCAAGGAGAGATTGCATAGATGGGCTGCACCAATAAGACAAACTAAATTCTGCTAAATTAATTTCTCATCCCGTCTCAAAAATATGTTGGACCCTCTCGCCACCCTGTGTCTAACAGCGTGCTCCTGCTGTTTTTCCTCGCACAAAGGAGCGTTTACCTGTCCTGCTGCTGGGTTGATACCTGTCTAAAGCCCTATGCCACAGCTTGCGCCCTGGTATCTCCTCCACACGCTTGAGACTTTGAGGAAGATGCAGCAAAAACCTTCTTCTTGGACTACCTGTGCAACCTGAATAGGCTACAGGTATCATCTCATGCCCTCTAACTGTAGAAAGTTAGTTTTTAGAGCGAGGCTAAGCTGGCTTTGTGGCAAACTGTGATGAGCGAGCTTGACGTTTGTACAGTTGGAAATGTAGATCTTAGCATAAAAGATGGAAACTAGCTTGGCTGCCTAGAAACACTTTAAAAGTGTTGGTAGCAGGACTTTTATTACTTTGGTCTGAGTCCAGATATCAGTTTAACCTGTTTACCATACAAGTAAGACACGCTTTAACTGCCTGTGCTCAGCGCACATCTGCGAGATCCTGATAAGCTGGTGTGATTTTTGCCAAGGTCGCTAAGGCTAAGAGCTAATAACCAGTAAAAGATAATAAACATCAAACATGAAAGACATGTTTTCGCTCCTCTGGTGGTGAGGGGGCAAGTTTTGAATGTCTCTGGGTGGAAAAATATTTGGGTTTAGAGGATTGAATTTATACCACAGCGTGAGACGTCCTCACCTTACAAAGAGCTCCATCTGGGAAGGTAGACACACACTCAGACAGGAGTTTAAGGTTAAATACACAGATCATACAGGATGCTGCTTTGTGGTCCCTGAAGTGCGTGTGCAGTCTTTCTATGTGTTGCGCTTCTTACGTGTGCATCTCCTGCTCCAGCTACACCACAGAGAGGGTGAAAAACTGTCTGTTGTAATTTAAATAAACCACACTGATCTGTTTCAATCTGTTTATTCATCATCGAGTAATATCAGCGATATATCTTCTATGAGACATTTAGGTCACGCAAAGTTTTAACTCTGCCTGGTGTCAGGGGAAAAAAGAAGCCTTTTACACACAAAGTCCACAATGAAAAGATTTATAGGACAAAGCACTGCATTTGCAAACATTTTACACTCAAAGGCTTTAGGTAAGCTGTTTTCTTCTTTGCATATAATGTAAAGTAGCTGCAGACGCTTTCCATTAAACTTCTGCATGTCCGCTTTAAGCTGCATCTGCTGTTTAAAATGCACCCAACAATAACGAGGCATCGTCCCGTGAATCTGCTGCTCACACAGACATGCCGTGGGCTCTGCAAGGCGGCACGCCGGCCAGTGGGGCGAAGGGAGGCGGGTTGGCCTTCTCTGCTGAAGAGCAAAACGACGATCCTCCCTGGGAGAGCAGGACAAGGGAAAAGAGACATTAACCACAGACTTCACAGCTTCTGAGTGAAAACTCACACTTTTCAAATAAATTATTAGTTTTATAACCCGTTATGTTATAAAAAAGAAAACAGCTGAAGCACTGTAGAGCACCCGGTCCCTTTTGATGCATTTGAGTTTAAAACCCCGACTCGAGGCCCCCTTTTTCACGGGCCTTCACAGACAGCTCGTTGTTTCAGTCGAACTGTTGTTTAAGATCAAACCTGCAGAAGCCTTAATTGTTCTGATGGAACATTCAGCATTATTGGTTGTAAACACGTGGGTTTATTTTATTAAGATGCAGCCAATAAATTGCTCCGATGTGGGTGGTCAACAGAGCTGCGGTTCGTGGAAAACACTAGGTTTCTGGATTAGAAAGGGCCCGTGAAGATTTAAAACAGAGCTTTGGCTTCCCCTGATTGTTTTCCACCTAAACACTTGCGTGTGGCCTTCTCAAAAAAAAAAAAAGAATTTCCTCATTTATTTTAAACTTATAATCTCCTTCATACTAGCTAACTAACACTTCTCCAAGCACAATTAACAGACCGAAACCCCACGGGGTACTAAAAAAACTGAACGCAGTGCTGTGTTTTAAATGTGAACAAACAAGATTTGCATCTGGATTTGGATCGATCAGAACCACAACTCATGCAAATCAAAGCACACTTATTTTTGAAATGTGCTGCTGGAAACGATGTGACATTACTGTGGTTGTCAATAAACACTTGCAGGTTCACCTCTGAGTGTGTTCCTGTCAGAACCAGAACTAGATGCTATTATTACATCATCTTAGCCATGATCTTTGAGCTCTTTCGGGGTACACTACATTCAAAACAAACTTGTATCTGTAGTGAAAATCACAGCATGACCTTTAAAAAACATTCATACTGAACAGGAATTTATTGCTGTAGCCACAATGAACGAATGCCAACATGCAAAGAAACAAGAAACACTACTGCCTGCACTGGGCCTCAGTGAAGGATGCAGATCTGTGAATGACTGTAAGAATAGTTTTTCAGGTAAAAGTTTAAAAGCGGTCTTTGATATCTCAGCAGCCGATCCTGTAAAATCTTCAACTTGTTTTTGTGACACATCTGTCAGATGTTTGGTTGGATTGAGATGTAAAGAATTTCCTCTGACTTTTTTCTTTTTCCTCAAAGCAAGCAACACTACCACTGGACTCCAGAGCAGTGGAGATGTGTTCTCTGGAGTGACGATTCGTGCTTCTCTGCCTGGCAATCTGATGGATGAGCCTGGCTTTGGCAGTTGCCATGAGAATGGTCCAAGACATTTTGGAGAATTTCATTTTCCCAAGTTTGTGAGAAAAGTTTGGGGATGGTCCCTTCCTGTTCCAATATGACTGCACACCAGTGCGCAAAGCAAGGTCCATATAGACGTGGATGAGCGAGTTTGGTGAGTCCTGACCTCAACCCAGTAGAGCACCTTCGGGATGAATTAGAGCTTAGACTGCGATCCAGGCCTCCGACATCAGTGTCTGACCTTAAATGGTCAAAAACTCCCACAAACACACTCTGAAACCTTGTGGAAAGTCTTCCCAGAAGAGTTGAAGCTGTTATAGACGTCACTCGAGTTCATATGCGTTTGAAGGCAGATAAGCAAATACTTTTGGAATATAGTGTAACATCCACATGAAGGCCAGGACAAGCATGGTTTCCTGGCAGAATCTGTTTGCCCAGATCATCACACTTCCTCTGATGCCCTCGTTGGTTCACCGGCTGTCCTTCTGGATCCACTTTTGCTCATCATATCCACAATACTCCACAAGGCCTGCCATTTTTGACGTCCTCTGACTCCCCCTGGAAAAGTCTCTTAGATCCTTACATTTTCCCAATTTTCCAGCTTCTATCGCCTCACCTTCTAAATTTATTCCTTTGCTGACTGATGTATATCTCACCCCCTAACAGGTACTGTCATGACAAGAAAATCACTTCACCTATGAGTGTTTTAGTATTGTGGCTGATAAGTTACACCATGGTCTCCGAAGTCCATCATAAAGAAACACTGAAAAATTCTGCATGAAATCATTTTGTGTGACACTTTGAAACCACAATTAGCTTTAAAGGAATTTTTAATATAGGGAGGAAACAGAGAGGTTTGCTGGCCAGTCGAGAAGTTTACACGAGAAACAGTTTAGACTTCACACAGCCACTATATATTTGTAATTGTATCTCTGTGTGTTGGCGTGTGTGTGTGTGAGAGAGACGGTGTTGACCTCACATTGACTGGGTGGAGCTGGTGTGCTGTGTGTATATTGGCGTCCATCAGCAGAGGAGCTGTTGGGGAAGATGCTGTTTTCTCAGAGGGATCAGCCACAGGGCTGCTGCTCCACTGAGGCAAAGAAAGGGAAACACACACACATGATATTAGGTAAGTGCAAAGAAGGGGAAAAAATCAGTTGATATTGGGACACCAAATATTGATATTTTATTAAATAAATTAAAATATACTGGGAATAGTACGAACACGTACACCATCCTGAGATAACTTACAGTAAGTCCACTAAACTGATAAACCATCCAACACTGGGCACACTTATCTTGACTGTGGCGGAGGTGTGGTCCCTGGGTCAGCTGCAGGGGAGGGGTGGTACAGTGAGCTCAAGGAGCAGTGCCAGGGAGGTTGGAGCGACAGGTGGACATGATCTAACTAATCAGGTTTCTCCCTTTTTATAGTGAGGTTGGAGATCAGACACGGGATAGCACGAGACAGCTGGAACGCTAGCGGACGCTTGTGCCGAACCAGGGAAACAGTGTTCGTGTGCAAAATCAATAAAAACGATTAAGAAACACGGGAACAGTGTGTCGGGTCTCTACAAAATCTCTATCTCTGGCTGTCTGGTGACTCTATTGAATTTTTTTCACATTCTTTGTCTGATTGCAACTTTTGACTGGAAGGTGATTGCACCGGTCGCCTGGTAGGAGGCAACGTTTCTCCAGACAGTTGCAGTCTGACTTGCACCGACTACAATCAACCTCAGATTGCTAAAGGTTTGCAAATAACTGCTGTGTAATTTATAAATGCAGACAGATTGCATCAGTCTCTTCTGAACAGTGTAAATGAGTCTTTATCAGTGAGCGCAACTCAAGGTTGCTTGACTCAGCGGCCGTATTCTGGTTTCAGGGAAGCAGGACAGCAGCGGATATGTGATTTTTGATGATTTATCTCAGGGAACTGTTCTATTATTGGAAACAGATTGCATATAATTGCCAACTTGACCCCATTCATTAGCAAACTGACATCAGACTGACTGCATCTTATCTTATGCATCAACAATGTCTTCTGTGGAAACTGTCACTGAACATGATATATTGAAGGAAGTGAAAAACATTTGTCTTTGATTTGTTCTTGTTCTTATCTCTCAAAGTGAAAACAACACCGATGTGATGAAGCTGCAACATAACGCTTCTGAAAATTGTTTTTTTCTAAGCTTTGATTTTAGTTTGGTGGGAAAAGTCTTTTGAACTCTGCGTCTGTGACAGTTTGAGTGGAAGCAGCAGGAGGAAAAGTGAAGGTATGTTTCTGATAAGCGTTACCGATGGACTGAGGTTTAGCGGATCAGAGACAGCTCTGTTAGCCTCTGCTGATAGAACCGCCTGCCAAGCAGTCTCAGGAACATTGTTATTGCATCACTCTCCTTGTATTTAACTTTTATGAGAGACCATTCAAGACATGCATGAGAGGTAAGGGAGAGTTTATTATGCAGACAAATCAATGCTCTTGTACACCACAGTGTCAATGCAACACGTGGTCTGACTACGATTTTCTGGCTGCACAGCAATCAGGTGTCCGCTTCATGCGGGACTCAGCACTTTTATTTCTTGCCTCTCATCCCGCACGTCCCAAATTTTGATTGGTTCTAGTTTTCAACAGTTAGCGTTGCAATTCAGACACATTTCCTAAAGTTTTTCTTTAATGCAGAGGTTGTTACAACAATAAATAAGGCTGTCATCTGGGGTCAGCCTGATCTCACTGCCCACACAACAGGGAAGAGCATGAGTCACCACAAAGCTGGCACGCTCCAGTGGAAACTTCAACAAAGAAAAAGAAATGCAGCTACAATAAGATGACGAAACTACTTATGAATGAGTAAAGCCAGTGCGAGAGTTTTTCTCTTTTAAACAGGAGAGAATGATCTTGAAGCGAGGAGCACATGTGAGTATTACAATGCGCTGCCCGTGATTCAAAATGTGATGGAGTCTGCATGATTTGTGTGATTTTCTTTTTTTAATATTAGAAAAACCATAATATCAAACCACCTTTCATCATTAATAACATACTTTTTGACACTTATTTATTTTATTGGGATCTTTTTATCCGTGTACAGAAAGTGAGGTAGGGAGGTCAGGAGTGGGAAGGCTGTATTCTGTGGTTGGATGTAATCACTTCTTACAGTCAAGGCACGCAAAGAGATGAGAGACAGACTTTATGGCTGTTTGGCTTGGCTTTAAGATGCTGCACTTCATGCAGTCAGAATTATTTTTCCATTTTCACAGTGTTGAGTTTAGTCTGACTCAGTGTTGAATGACCAGTATCTAGGGAATTTGTAAAAGTGAGACGGTTTTATTTTATATTTGGGAGGGAATCATTTTTGGCCTTTTGAACAACTGCACTAGGCTACTGCATACTGTGCAGCAGGAACGTGAGAGCAGATGGTGCCATGATCCACGCTCGCTTTCCAGTGTTTTCCTTCTCCTGTTATCCTTTTTCCTTTCTGTTTTGCTCTCTCTGCACTGGTGAGGGGTAAAGACGAAACATTAATCTCTCCCCTACAGTATACATGCCCGCTATTTTTTAAAAATCGTTTTTATCATTAACTTGGTTTCCCTGGGTCTTTTCCCGTGTGTGATGAATAAATCTTAATTTTTTGGGCTGGCTTTATTTTGTTGTATTTACCCGTGACACCTTAAAGGCCGGTCATGTCGGACATAAACCGGTCCGTGGTGCAAAAAAGGTGAGTTTGAAGTCTGATGTCAGTTTGCTACCTGCTCTACAGGTCATAAATCAACTAGTGCAGCTTTAAAATCCACCACATTTTGTGTTGTTGGACTTTTTTGTTCAAGGTAGTTTGTGTAAATACATGCACACAGATCACAATCTACTACAATTAATTGTGGTGTGCCACAGGGTTCAGTCCCGGGACCTCTGCTCTTTATTTTCTTTCTCCTTCCTCTCTGCAGTATTTTCAGGAAATATAACATTAAGGTTCACTGTTATGTAGATGACACACAGGTTGCTGTGAATGTCTTACCAACTCTCTAATGCTGCCCAGCACTGCTGTGGTGAGTATTCCTGTGAAGAAGGCCACGAAGTTGAGGCCGGCGAGGGTCCAAATTAAAATGTACACTGTAAAGACTTCCTCACAGCTTTCTACTCCAACAAATTCATAGTAGTTGCTGAGGTAGCCTCCACTGCATAACAAAGCCACAGAGCAGGTTAGTTCCAATGATTTGTAAGACAAAACACATAAAAGTCGGATGATCAGGATATTTGTGACTGAAGTTCAAACTTTCAGCTTTAACTGAAGGGGTTAAAGCCTTATGGTGTCGCTGAGCTGCTCAATCCAATTCATTTTAACAATGATTTGGTCACTCCCATCTCTCTGTCTTGTAGGTTTATTTAGTTTTTTAATGATGACCTAACTTATCTCTGCTGACAACTCATTGGATGTCGAGATCCCCACTGAACAGCAACGCAATGCAATTTCAAGAATTTGAATCAACTTCAGATGTTTGCTGATTTTGTCATGAATTAATAAGGAAACAGGCTTCACCTGACCATAAACCTGCTCGTCACACAACTATGTGATTACTTTTGTGCATTTCACAATGGGGACTCTACAAAAACGACTATAATGCATAAAGAGTTAATGCAGTACTTTGGTTAAACCCCTTGAATTAAAGCTGCAAATTTACACTTTAATAGTTTGATTTAAAGTCCACTGTGATGGTGAACAGAGAAACTGCAAAAAAAGGTGTTTTTGCCCCAAAACGTATGGATGTATATGAACGTGTCTATCATTTTGTTCAATCTGTGATCACACATGACATAGATTACTGTATACTAATGATTAAATGTCTCACTTGGCGCAGTCATACAGGTCGCAGCAGTAACAGGTTCCACTTCTTACCGTCATGGTACAAGACTCCTTTAGACTCCAACACGACACCTGGGCAGCGAACCACAAGCTCACAAACATACAGACAACACAACTGGAGGTTTATCCTGCACATTCGAATCTATCCGGACTGGTTGTGACTATGTATCTGAATTAGTCACAGGATAATGTTTTCCTTCAGCGTGTCTCTACTCACAGAAGTGTAGAAATTCTCATAGATGTAGCAGTTGCCGCTGCTGTAATACTGACATCTCCCTGCTGTCAGTGGCCGCATGTCCTGGCAAAAGTTAACATGAGAAACAATCCACAACATTTCACCCAGAACCATTCAAATCAATCTTTATTCGGTGCAAACAGTGGTAAGTTTGAAGTCGAATAAAACGGTCTCTTCCAAAATTCACTCAGTCCGATTTGAAACTGTAACACGAGGTCAGCATGGCCCTTTATTATTGCTTCACAGTCTTCAGTTAACTGTGCAGCCATCTGCTGAGGTTACAAGCAAGTGTAGGTATCTCACCATATTTAAGGCAATGCAGACGCCGTCGATCACCAAGCACACAGAAGAGACGACGATCCCGAAACTGAGAAAGACGATGGCAGCGGTCAGCTGGAGGAGAAGCAAAGGTGAAAACACAAATGAGAGAGCTTTAATGTAAGATTTGTGCCAGATGAAAGGCTGGAGGGAAGCCTGACAGGAATGCAGAGAAAAGCTGAGGAAAAGTTTTTTTCTTTCTCTCCAACACATAAGCGTTTTTTCATGTGGATCATGTATCGTAGGTGTGAAGCTATTAGGTTTCCTCACAAAGCACTTAAAACCGTGTTTTTTGAAAAACCGAACTTTGAGAGGCGTAAAATATTATGAAAGACATTTTTTTAAAGGTGGAACCTGTTAATTATATAAACAGTACTGTGCAAAAGTCTTGAGCCAAACTTAATTTCTTTATATTTTGCCAGGAAAATGGGAAATAGGCGCATCGATTTACTGAAACATTTGGAAACAGACGTGGAAATACAGCATATGAGGCAAAAACAGCATGTGGATAATTCCAATGAGCTTTTGAAGTCAGTCTTTGGTATGACCACCTTTATTCTTAACACAGGCTGAACTCTCTCAGGCAGCTTTCTTGTCATTTCTTTAAGCAGTCTTCAGGAACAGTTCTCCAGGCTTGTTGAAGGACATTCAAAGCTCTTCTTTGGATGTTTCTGCCTTTTGTTCTGTCAAGATGATCCCACTCTGCTTCAGTGATGTTGAGCTGTGGGTTCTGTGGAGGCCAGTCCATGACTGATGGTGTTCCACTGTGTGCTTTTTCTATCCAAGTATGATTTTACTATTTTCTCCACCATGTTTAACAGATGGCTGTAGACACTCACTTTTGTACCTCTTCTGACTTTTTCTTGAAGATGATTTGGACCAGAAATTTCAAACTTCCACTGAGATCATTACTGCCAAGGCTTCAGTGAGCAGTGGACGGATCAGCTTAAGGTCTCTCAGGTCATGTGTCAGCTCTTTGCTGGATTTTCTTTTCCCTATTTCTTAAAAACACGATTTTCAGATACTGTCAATAGTTGTTTTTAGACCTGCCACTTCTTCTTTTGTCCTCCACTTGTCTGTTTAAGGCTGTCAAACTGTGTTTATCTTTGGCATTTTTCATCGATTCAACACAAAATAGGATCAAATGATGTTTCTGTTTCTGTGGCGGCTCACCAGCTAAGATGATATAATCAAAATCCAAACTGGACCAAATCCAAGCAGAATGAAAGTCGTCAACGCCTTTTTTCTCTTTGTTGACAGGATAAGCTGCTGGTTTTCACATAACCTAGAAGTGTTTTGAAAGCTTCCTTTGATATATCGTAAAGTGTGGGTGATGAATACTTAAACTGAAAGAAACCAGAAAAACATCTATTGTCTGTTTCACATTATTTCTCCTCATTTGACTAGTAAAGTCTAGGTCATGTGACGATATTCACATTATTTTGCCTTTTTTTAAACCAACTTTTGTGCTACACTCAGTTTTTTAATGGTGTTTTTCACAGTTTAGGATTTTTTATATTAGAATTTCTATCAGAGAAACACACACAAGTTCAAATAACTGCAGACAAAACCAGGATTAGCTCACTCTACACCCATTGGATAAAGGCAGATCGGTGCCGCTTTCCTAAAAAAATACTTTTTTTTTCTTTTTACTTACTGAAAACAGCCCAATGACAGTGTCGTATAATTGGTTACATTGTTACTGTAAAATAATGTGCTGTCACTAGTGAGACGTCTTCAGAGCTTTTTGTTTTAATGTACGTGTTGCATTTATTCCTATTAAAGAGACGCAGGGAGGGCTGAACATACCAGCTGCCTGCGGTTTTCTTCCAGCCAGAGTCCCAGAAGTCCCAGGAAGGATCCAAGGGTGAGCTGAAGAAATCATCCAAAGGACCAAATTTAAAAGCATACGGTTTGTTACAAACCAAACAGATGCAAAGAGTTTAAAATGATCAATCAATATATATAAATCAATACAGCCGTCCATAATTAATTTCACACTCAGATGAAGGTTACCAAATCTGCACCGAGTGAGGCAAAACCTTTGGCTACTGCAGCTTGAGCTTTATGATGGAAATCACATGAGATGCTTTCCTGTTCCTCCTGACAACTTTTTACATTTCTTTAGTCGTATCAACCAGATGTCTCACTAAATAAAATCAAATATGATTTTTTTTTAAAAAACAGCTTACAATAACTCCAGATGCGTAGCCAGTCACATTCAGGCTCTCTGTTCGGGTCGTTGTGTAGACCCCCAGCACCACCAGCAGCAGGGACAGACTGAGCATGCCCAGCACCAGCCGTAGAGCTCGCCTGACCTTCACCATGATGTCTGCCACCCAGCAAACAAAGAAATAAACATAGTTTCAGTCATATTAAAACGTTACAGTGCCGGTTCAAATCTCGACAGCTGCCCAACTTAGTTTATTTTGTTTATCTGGATTTCATTTATTTGACTTTTATTGTGAAAACTATTACCCAACCACAGGCACCCATCTTGTTTAATTCACATGCCATGAAATATTTACAGCTCAATAAAATGAGGCATGGAAATGGACTTGAATCCATGGTTTCTGAACACTGGACAAAGAAACCATGAAAGCTCGCACAATATCAGTGGCAGCCAACAAAGGAAACATCTGTGCACTTTAAAACACAATTTAGGGAACAATATCAGGATTACACTGGAGCACAACATTAGAACGTGTAACAATGCAAAGTTCAGCATCTTTTAGCTCTTATAAGGAAGCAGGAAAGATAAACTTTAGTGAAGTTTACTGACAAAAGTTAAAGCTCACACAAACACAACAGAAAGGGTTCATGTAGCTTCCTGTCTCTTTCCTTGTTTATGTGACATTAAAAGCACAGGAGCAGTGAGATTCATCTCCTCCCGTGACCTTCACACTTTATGGACATGATTACAGCACCACCATCAGTTTTACTGACAGCCTTTATCACTGAGCTTCTGTGAAAACCCCAAACTGTGCTGCAACAAATAACACTTCACCTGCCTTATCAAAAACGTGATTGGATTAAAAGCAACAAAACAATTACCGGTAAGTAAACTGGATCCAAAGGGATTTGAATTATTATGATCAGTCAAGTTTAATACTCCTGTCCCATCCAGCTGTGATGCCACCACCGCTCTCTTACCTGTTGCTCGGCTCTGTGGGCTCCGTTTGTCCCGACCCGGTGCTGTTCCCTGAATCCGGACCATAAATCCTCCTTTGAAACACAGATTTCCCTCCGACAGCTTCTGATGAATGCAAACAGCCGTTCACTTGAACAGTCGTTTGAGCTGCACAAGCATCAGCTGCATGAGTGTAGCAGCTCAACTTCAGTGAGAGAGGAGAGCTCCTGCGTCCGATGCGTTCAAGCACGGTCGGAACCGTGAACTTCACCTGGAAAGTCACTTGACAGTTAAATTAGGTAATAACACTGGGACCCTTTACAACCCCGAGTTGTAAATCAAATAAAAGCACGTGGCTGCCCGAGAGCTGGTGCATGTCTAATGTATTAATGTCACATATTTTCTTTGCACGCGTGGGCGTGGTTTTATTAACTATGTGTACATTTTGCGCTCATACAAAACTTTGAGGTGAGGAGGTATTTTGTCATTTTTATAGATCAGAGCAATTATATGTGTTGTTGTATTAAAAAGTCACACATTATTAGTCCTTTAAAATCTATCATCTGCTTTTAAATAGCAAGCTAAAGCCATGCGCTGGCTAGCTTGGTGCTGAATGGATGATCGAGCATGCATCAGGATTTAAAATGAAGAGCAGTTCAGAGTGAGTTTGATATCGATGTGGTTCAGTTTTGTTCTCACGTTTACAGTGGCGTGCTCACTATTGCGCAGGGTACCTGTTGGAAAATCTTGCACAGAAAGACTGCGGGTCTTTTAAAAGATGTGGGG